CTTAATTGATTTTACTCAAGCTATCTAACCTTCTGAACAGTTGATGCAGCTGGTCTCCAAAACATTTTCGATAAAGATACGCTGAATTTACGTGACGTTAAATTTTTTAGTAAACACAAATATATCTTTCCCTATGAGGGTGATTTTCGATTCTTGAAGTTTACCCCTCGAATCATGGACATATTATGTTAAGACAAGAAACAAGTCTCATGCCTTATATTTTGGTATGCAAGCCACATCAATTGTTTTCGTACAGGTAAAATTTTCGAAGTCAATAAATTGTTTACATGTACATATATGTGTATATGTATACAATTTTTTGTCTTCGAAAATTTCACGGGTTTACTCCATACTCAGCAGCTTTCCGCGAGTGTAATCTCAACAAATAGGTGCGTGATACCTACAACAGATTTTTTCATATGTATCACAAAATCGATATATGGATTCGAACGGTGAATTCAAATGAGTTAAATATTAAAAAAATATTCCGTCGTTGCAAAATGCACCATCAATGGCAGATTGCAAATATTCTTTGATAATGTTTTAGCGTAGCTTTTTCGACCACCTGTGAAAGCCAATAGCATGATCGAGGACCGCTAATAAATCCATAATGACCAAATATCAAATATACGCAGATAACATGGGAGCAAAAGAAAAAAATTAACTTTGAGAGTCTCACACGTGACAGAAATGCCAATATTCTTTTGAAAATTTGTATTCGTTGGAAAAAAATTAAAACTTTCTAATGGCAGCATGAACGTTTAACGTTCCTTAATAGCAAAGTATTGATCAGAGAAGTCGCGTTGTACAGACGTAAGATTTTATTGTACTGAAATACCGATCACGTAAATCGATAGCAAACAATAGGATCGAAACCTATCATGTGACTTGGTGAAAAAATACACTTTTGAAATAAAATGTTGAGAATTATGAAAACCGCTGTTTTCTTGTCTGCATTCTTTCGCCACGTGTGTAAAAAAATGTCTGTTTGAGCCTTTCACATGTTGAGCTCATTTCAAAATTAAGAAGCTCTGGTGACATTATTATGTGCGAAAGTGCGATGACATTATTTACTGCATTTTTCAAACTATTCATTTGCCATCAGATAGTGTGTATCATAAATAGTCAGATCTAAAAGAATATTTTAGTGATAATACGCCGCTTCTTCTGAGAAAAAAATGCGTGGAATTTCAAGTTCGAGTTAAATACGAGGGTGAATGTAGTCGTGGGGTTGTGTAGGAGAGATTATCAGAAGAAACTTCGAATATTTCATGATAAGCTTTTATACTTCATAATATTGTTAATAAGACTGGAATAAGCACTATAATTCGCCTTGAATTGATCAAATTCGAGTCTAATTTACCCACGTCAAATGGAGGTATTGATTTCAGCGTAAGCCGGAAAAACATTTCACATAAACAGCCAGTATTGACGGAACACCTGCATAGCTACAGACGATCTGAACAGATGTTATAAAGATAGTCAGTCCAACAACAACAGTCAACCGAGATGGTCGCATTTTTTCTTCAAAGTTTTGTTTCTTTTATTATATTCGCTGCTAATTAAGTCAATTGGTGAGGCCAGTTGTTCAGTCTGATTTTCTAGTTGGAAATCTGGTTAAATTTTTGCTATTATTAATTGCACAACTTAATTATTATTTTTTTTTATAAGGCCTCCCACACTCACCATTCCAACAAAAAGGAATTAATTTTATTAATTAAAAACAGGGAATGGTTTCATGTCAATGATCAGGGCCCCGACCTTAACGCCTCTGATGGTGGCCTACACCGAAATAACGAGTACACTAGCAGTAGAAAGACGTGCCAATAATAAAATTGCTGCGTCAGCATGAACGAGAAGAGAGAATGGGGGCAACGTCCGTGCAAGGCTACAGAGCACACAACAAGCACTTAGAGAGCTCTTAGGCACCACACAACCTTCCCACGTGGATGCTCAGTTAACACTCCAACTTAATTATTTTGTTTAAAGACATTATTTACAGCATTATTTAATCCATTTCTCCACTGTCATTATTCTTTTATAACTCATAACTATTTCAAATCTAACAGAATATCTTTTTTTAATAATTAGCCGCTTTTTTTGAGAATGAACGCAATTGAAATTTTTATTCGAATCAAATTGTTGGAGGGAATTTAATCATGTGATTGTATAGGTGAGATTAGCTGAAGAAGCGCAGATTTTTTCCTTCATCGAAGCACAGATTTATACGAAGTAATTTTTCGAGTCATCTGCGTTGTTGCATCCACGTAGAGCGATGCAATATTCCGTCACTTGATGACGCTTACAAGATATTTCATTAAAAAATTTTTATTCCAAACAGGAGCAACAGCCAGCGAATGGAGCTACCCCAGTGACTATGACAACCCTGGCAAATGAAGTACAATTTAAATCTGATTTCGCTAGCTGCAGTACTCGGGAACGAACTTTTTCCATATGAAAATTAACAAAAACTGGCGATTATTTTTGGTAAAAAAGAGCGCGGTAAATTTCGCTAGAGAAAACGTTACTAATTGCGTGAAGTTCATCCGAACCATAGCTGTAGCGATTAACTTCAAGCGTTTGTCTGATGAGTGATCGTTAAAAATTACCAATTTGAACAACATAAACGTACTGACATACACATTTACTACCGAGAGTATCAACGAAATTTGAGTTTGAAAGTAGAGCATTTGCAAATTGAAGCTAAGTTTTCAAGACAGACCAAAACTGATCGCAATTTTAAGTCTCTGCCGATATAGAAACGTATAACTGTAAAAAATGGCCAACTTGGCGTAAGACATATTTATACAGCGTTGACACTCAAATCCATTCCAGCTTCATTGTTTAAACTGAGAAATGCACGAAAATGTCAGTATTTAAAATTAATTAATCTCCAATGCTAGCATAAGGATCCAGCCGCCTCTGAAATGCCGTCCTGCTGGTGCCGTACTATTATACGGCACCAGCAGCATTATACCGTATACAGGATTATAATAATAATAGCGGTTTCAGCGTTTATTAGGCCTGAGGCCTGTTGCCGATTCTTAACATCGCAGAAAATTCACAGCATGTTGCGGTCAAACTGGCGCACAGAGCTGGGATCGAACCCGCGCTTCTCTGCGCCAATCTTGGTACTCTGAAATGTAACCAATGGGCCACTCTTATATGACAGATGAAACAATTATGTAATGGGTTTTGTTAGTAGGATGACAAGTTGGAATCCAATAGAATATCCACGAAACTAATTGAAAATGAAGTTGAATCCTACATCCTACATGATGTTAACAAATATTTATTTATAAATATGAATTTATTGAAATTATAACATCTCATTGGAGAACTGAAGTCGCAAACAAGCAGCTTCTTGGAGACAATCTCACGGCCAATTAAGCGCTTAACATCGAATGAAGAACAAATAACGCTTACCTATGATGACTTGCATCTTTCTTATTAATACAAGCCGTATGATGAACTTTTCCATTTCTGAACGCGTATTGGAAATCCATCAATAGCATGTGTTGTAAATTAAAAATGCCTACTATAGTTTATTTATTTATTTATTTAGACATGAAATTTTTAACCAAACTTGTGATTTTACTACCCGCAATATATTCCATCTAGCTAAAATATCTTGTTTTTAGTTAAGTTCATTATCAAGGTCTCAAAAATGATCACTTCACTAATATTTCTACCAATTAACTTTTAAAGGTCAGCTAAAGGTGCTGTGGAGCATCCCTCAGTTGCTCTACAGCACCAAGTGTCCCATGAATGGGTCAGATTGACCCACGTCAATGGCCGTGACGCGACGTTAACGCTCAATGCAAATTACGTCAAATGCGCCATTGAGCGCAAGCTCTACGAAGAATATGGAGGAATATTTGAATATTAAATCTATAGCGCCCTTATATCCGATTAAAGTAACTAAAGACAATGGAATATAATTTAAAGGGCATTAAAATGTTAATGAAGTCATAGGCCTACATGGAATTTGTGACGCGTGTGGCGGACATAAAAGCGGCGGCCACCGCAGCGTCCAGCCACACGCACTCCAGCAGCTTCTTGTTCCGGTGAGTGGCTTGGCTTGACTCATGTGAGTGACTTGTGCATGTAAAATGAGAGATGATTTTAATCTAAACTTTTCATTCTGAAATTATCGAACTCATAATAATGTTTCGGGAGAATTAGTTAATAAGTTCGTGTGGTATTAGAAATATCGATTTATATCCGCCAGGTAAAAAAAAAAGAATAGTCTTTGGGTCAACAGCAAATGTACTTGAGTTTGTAACTACGATTAGTCGCGTGAGTCGCAATTATGGCTCAAGTTTTCTTTCTAATGACCAAAACCATTGTGTAATACGTTAATTAACTTCAGTGAATGCCTCATCATGGGTAACGATACATTTGATAACATATACCACTATTAATTTAACTGATATATCTGGCCATCGATTCAATTATCAATGAAGTCTTGGATATCAATTGAGTTAAGTGAATGTGTTTCTTCTTGCTTATGCACAGCCGTGCACCATCTCTCAGAAATGCATAGCCTGATTTTTTTCTCATCCTAAAATAACAGTACAACTCAAGCTTTATATCTAAGCGTAATGCTCAGGCAAAATGAATACTACACACTTTTTCAGCATGTTAATTTCGTGAAAAATGTCAATGTAAAGTATGAAATAAAAGATGTAAAGTATTATATTCTACAACGCAGATGACTCGTATGATTAATTACGCGTGTGTGGTCGCCTGCTGGGCGTTGCTGGCTGCGCTAGGGCGAGCGACGCCGGCGACGATCGAAGACCAGGGGCCATACTTTCAAAACTCGCTAAGTGAACGTAAGTACTTACGCTCTATTTTCTCGTCTATGATTGGTGGATTCTGCCTGAAAGGCCGTCAATGATTGGCTGGTGAACTTACGATCTCTTAACTTTTTTTGAAAATATAGTCACGTGAACGGCCGCATCAACTTGACGGTGTGAACAGCAGCCAGCCTCAACATGAGTCTTAATTTGTGAACTAAATCCACCAGTTTAATTATTGGTCATGTTATTAACATTTTCATTCATCTGGAATTATCGTCATTCAAATGCTGATGACTTTCACTATGATTATTCTTATTCGTATTTAAAATTCTTAAATTTTCAATTTTTCACATCGAACATAAAGACTTCTAATGAACTTAGTACCTTGGGCTATGGAAATTTTAATATTCTTATAAATTTATTTATGCTTTCTTTAACGCTGTAGACTCTCTTTACGTGCGTATAAGCACTAGTAATAATCTGAATAATTATAATCAATCCGGGCCACCAACAACATATGCTGATCCCTCAACATATCTATGTTTAAAAAATATTCCTATTATAACGTCGTTACAACAAGAATTACCTTCAGAAGTAGTACAAATTGTTTTAAACTATCACTTTTGCATATATATATATATATATATATATACAGCTTACGACTAATTATCCTGAAGTTGTCTGGATATATAACGTATAACCGTAACCCAGGCACACACCTCAAAAAAAAAAGGCCGTCTGAAGTCGAATTTTTAAAAAATAATAAAACTGGTTGTGAATAATATCTATCTAATAATATCGGATAATTTGTAATTAGTTCTGCTAATATCTTTATGCCTAGTTCATTAGTAAATTTTATTAATATTCTTCATTCAACATATCTTCATTTCGCACAGGAGCGGAAGCCAGTAAATGGAACTATTCCAGTGAGTATGTCGACGCTAGCAAATGAAGCACGTTTTAAATTATATCATCGCTACACGCAGTACTTCGAAGTGAACTTGTTTCATATCAAAGTGAAAAAATTCCGTTTTTTAGATAAAAAATTACGGGACAAATTTCGCTAGATCATTTGATTCAACAATAGGAGAGAGCGCTCTGCAACAAACAATACGCAGTTTTTCTGTTAGTATACAATCAAAGTTTCAAGTAAAAATAACCACAAAATTTTTTGTTTAAATTAAAATCGTAAGCAAAAGTATCAACAATAATAAGGATAGAATTAAATTTTACAACATCAGTAGCCTAAATAATGAGTATAATTAATATTTAAAATTTTCAGCAAAAAATAATTGGGCTAAAGAGTATCCCAAGTACTGCGCTGGACATCGTCAGTCGCCCATCAACATCGCCAAGCATAAAACTCCCTGGAAGTGGTTTGGCAGAGTCCAGCCTCTGACATTGCGTGGCTACAACTCGGTGCCTAACTCCATCACGGCTGTAAACAATCTTCACACTCGTAAGAAATCTCATTAATTCAATTCGTTACCGTATGTAAAAATGCTATCAACTGTTTTAATGTAAAAACATATGTTGTAATCATTTCATACGATGAACATAAATCAATTGAATCATGTCCAATAATAAATTTTTCATTGCTGAATACAACAAAAAATTAACTGATTCATTTCCTCTAATAAGTTTCAGTCACTGCTGAGTACTTCAGGAAGCCTCGCATATTCGGTGGGGAGCTCCTATCCTCATACGAGTTTCTGAACTTCCACTTCCACTGGGGCTCTGACGAGACCAAGGGATCTGAACATACCATAAATAATGTGCAGTGAGTCAGTTCCTTACCTTTTCTATTCTACAATATTTTTAACTATTGTAATTTGAGCCACGTAAAGTGGTGATTTTATTGAACGGAAGATATTGTTGCCATATTAATAATAACTTTTGCATATTTATACCTCAATGTTAATTTTGTTAATTTTGTGACGCCCATGCAGGTATCCCTTGGAGCTCCACATCGTGCACACGATGGTGGGCGTGCCACAAGAAAAGGCTCTCGAAAGAAGTCGAGGGCTGGCAGTACTGGGAATCTTTTTCAAACTTTCTAGTATAGACAATCCCGCCCTCAGCCGGTTACTAAATACCATCCCTGAGATCAACCTAAACCGAAGTACGCGCCCGATAATTTTTCTGAACTCGATTATGAATTTCCATTGAAGCCTGAACCGATGACTCTCCTTACTTAACTTACTCGAGTGAATGAAAAATTGTCATTTTTACATAAGCCAAATGAAGTAAGTTACTCTCCACAACAGATCGCACGGCGAATGTACCGAACCCGTACGCACTGTCGTCGCTGCTTCCCGACGACCTGAGCAGTTATTACCGCTACGAAGGCAGCCTCACGACGCCCGTCTGCAACGAGGTCGTCGTGTGGACCGTCTTCGAGCAGCCTCTGCCCGTCTCCAAGGCCCAGGTATCCATAGCCCCATTATCAATATTCAGCATTGTTTAAAATTGTTTGTGATGCCATTTAACTATTCGTGCAAATATCATTGAAACATTTTAACAACGACATTAGGTTGATATTAGCTGCGATCATCAGCGAATAATCCTATTTTCTGGTCGATCGACTGATGGTAATAAATGATAACATCTAAAATGATGCAAATAATATCTTACCCTGATTGAGTTAAAGATTCAGTGCATTACATTAACAATGAGATAATATATTTCAGCTGGATGCACTTCGGACTTTGAAAGACCATAACAACGAACCACTACAGGACAACTACCGCAACCCTCAGCCCCTGAATGGCCGAAAAGTAATACTTACTAGAGTCAAGCATGAAACATTCTCACAAATATCTAAAACATGATTGTAGTTATATTCACCATAACTAAGAGGCATTTATTCTAAACTTATGTGCTCAAGAAAATAACTATGGCATAATAGCACGAAATAACATTGTCACAAAATAACATTGTAGTATAATAATGCAGTGCAAGAAAATACGCTACAGCCACCAGCCTCGTACATACGTAATCATCCAGTCAACCTGCGTCTAGAGGAGGGGAGGGTTAGGACTCACGGGTCGCTATAATATGCGTAGGAGGCTTGAGTAATCTGCAAACATCAACCAACTTGTGCTAGTTTTTGATTAATGATTTATAATTCAAAAAATCAATATTTATGTTGAAATGAAAAGATTGAATAAAATAATTCCATCTTGAAGTGTCGAATGATTTTAGTTTTTCATTTATTTTTCATTTATTATTTCTTCGTCAGAATTTAATATTATCGATACATGTTCTTAACGGTAAATTTTTGCTTTTCGCAGGTGTACCGGTCATGGCCGTAGCCTGCTGGTCGTTGCAATAAACCAGACGAGCGGCTCAGAAGATGACTTGACCGATATTTACCATTCCATGCACGCGAGTTATTAAATAGGTCATTAATTGAATAGAAAATGTACAACGCAAACTATTTTGGTTTATTTCGGTTATGGAAAAATGTAAAAATTAGGCCTTGAATGATGGAAACGACGATTGCCGATATTGTGTATGCGTGTACAATTTCCGTTATTCAAGGCTGATTTTGGCTGCAAAAATGAGCTAAGTAGTCGCCGTTTACTAAAATATGTCCCAAATATTACAAATTTAATTTGAAATGAAGTTTAAAGCGAAAACTTGAACTTTATAGGCTTGACCTACAGTTGAAGGAAAAATGGTAAGCGTAAATTAATTATTTTAATTTTTTCCTGAATATGGAAATAATCAAAGACCAAATGCTATTTGCTCAAAATTCAAAAAAGAGAAACCGTTGCCTTGCAGTTTTAGTTTTAGAAGAGATATATCGAATCGTTAGAGTGGTTCTATTAAAGCAAGGGGATTAATTACTAATACTATTGAAGAGACGTTGATAGCCATACTTCCAATAAAACACGTTGTATGCAAAAGCAATAATTACTAATACTATTGAAGAGATGTTGATATAAAAACTCCTAAGAAAATAAGTTTGTATCACGTGCAAGTTAGTAGCTACTCTGTTTTGCAATTCGCAGTTGTCCGTCTCTGTGTTGTGCTCTATCTTTGCTATGTATTTTTTCGGTGTGCAACTTTGGTTTCTAGTAGAGTTTTACGAGCCTTGAGATTCATTAGAATTTTTTTAGATAATTTTTCTGTATTGACTCGTGTATTGTTTTTTTTTTTGTTTTTTTTTTTAATTCTCCTTTGTTGATGTTCGATGACAGCATTGGATCGACTGATCCAATGCATTTGGTGTCGCCTTGTATGAACTTTGCAACATTCGATGTCATTTGGATGCATTCTCAAACAATTGTCCAGGCATGGACATAATTTATTTAAATCTTCGATCACGTTATATAACTTGTTGAAACATTAATTATTAGAAATGCTGTCAAAGACGTTGACTTTGTTTCGCATTTAAAATTCATTCTGAGCAAATAAAAATAAAACCACCGGGTGTAAAAATTTTCCTAAGAAAATTTTCTTGGGTTTGATTAGAACAGAAATCCCGGCGTGAAAAAACATTGGGAAAAGAATAGAAATATTTTCGAACCAGCGGGGCACGCCTAAGAACCATCGGATTGGTCATCGTCTCTGTCGATGCGCTCTGTGATACTTTAATGGAATATTGAGACGAGAATTGTAATATTCCAGGCGGGCTTCATTTTTTACGCTCTCAAAAATTTTGTTCTGAGTGATCTAACAAGAAATATAATTTCGCTGAGCAGGTTCGTGAATTTTCTTTTAGAATAAAAAGTTGACTAATATCCCACGATGATTCGTTATAGGGATTGTGCTCCTGATCTTATGACCTTATGACTTTATGATGAGTTCGGGACTTCCTAATCCCCGGTCACGCTGATGCGCCGCCTTCGTCGTCATCCGTCTCCGAGTCGTCGCTAGGCAGGTCACCCCGCCCTCGGGTCCCGGATGCAACGTTGGCCGTGTTTCGTATTTTTACCCTCCTTTCGGACAGCAGAAGCAAGATGCTGTTGCTTGTCACTTGCTGAGGGTAGTTTCCCATAACTGAACAATCCAGGATCTTTTTCAACCACTTGTCCAGTCGTCCCTTGAATGTTGCAAGGGTGAACTCTCCTCCTCTCAGCTCTTTTGGCAAGGCATTAAAGAGCCTCGGTCCTGCCACGGACAGTGATCCCTCACGAAGAGTCTGTACTCTGACCGATTCTCAGTTATTAAATGGGGGAATCCCACACAGTCTCCCTCTACTTTCGTAGTAATATGTCACTATTCTGGAGGTCTCACTATCAAAGTTGGGAGCCAGTCCGGTTATCATCTTCCAAGTGTACAGTATGATATACCTCTCTCTTCTCCTCTCCAGTGAGTACAGTCCCTGGTGTTTCAATCTTCCCCAGTAGTCCAGCGTCAGCTTCATACCGCTGATCCTGGACGTGAAGGTCCGCTGGACCGACTCCAGTTTCCGCACCGCGCCCACCTTGAGCGGCGCCCAAATTTGGCAGCAATACGCTAGATTGGGGAGCACGAGGGCTCTGAGGAGTGTAATCATTGGTGCTGTTTATCTCATTCGAAATGTCCGCCAGATCCATCCCATCCGTTGCCTGCTTCGCGCGACTAGTTCCTCGATGTGGGCATCGAACGTGGGTTCGGTACTCATCAACACACCGAGATCTCGAACTAGTTGCTTCTCCTCAATTTCTGTACCATCTGATGCCAAGTAGCGATGTGGCATCCCGATCTCTGTGCGGACTCTGTATATCATTACTTCGAACTTGGTGCCGCTGAACTGCATATTGTTCACTAGGGCCCAATCGCAGATTAACGATAGGTCATCCTGCAAACTCTCGCAGTCTAGTTAATCTGTGATCTTCATCAGCACTCTCGTATCGTCCGCAAATGACGATGTAGATGCGTGGGTGAGTTCCGAGTCAATATCTGCAATGTGGATGAGAAAGAGGATCGGTCCAAGCACTGAGCCTTGCGGAACTTCGCTTTTCACCTTCGCTTCTCTCGATTTCGAGTTTCCAATTGCGGCAGCTTGCACTCTATCTGTAAGGGAGCTGTGGATCCACCTCAACAGGCTTCCTCCTACCCCCAACAGCCTCAGCATTCTAAAGAGCACCCCATTGTCAGCTTTTTCAAAAGCTTTAGCAAAGTCTAGGTAAACCACGTCCACGCCAGCTTCCTCATCCAGCTGAGCCACCATGGGCGGTGATGGTCCTCCAGTAACTGTGACAAACAGGAACGGTTACGCCGGAAACCATGTTGTCCGTTATTATACAGGTCAGCCTCTTCCATATACTGGACAAGCCTCCTGTCCACTACATTCTCGAAAACCTTGATCACATGTGAGGTCAAGGTCACAGGTCTGTAATTTTGGGGTCTGTCCCCCGGACCTCCTTTATGGATTGGCGTTATCAGTCCCACTTTGAGACCCTCAGGAATAATTCCCTCCGTCATCGAGGCTTTCCAGAGCATTGTGATCGGAGCCTTCACATGCGTCTGGCTAACTAACTGAAATTTAGAAGCATAAGAAAGGCGAATAATATCGAAAAGATAGAAATATTTGCAGATATCATGGAAAATTATTAAAAAAAAAAAACACTTTTATTTCAAGGACATAACTTGCATTCACATTCCCATAACGGTAATTCGAACGATAACCTCTGCCATTCATGGTTCAATTTGTACAACTTGCAAATTCTAAATCATTAAATGAAGGGTATAAATAATAATAGTAGTAAAGAATCACATTTTTGCTGAAAAACTTTCAAGAATTTGACCGACAATGGTAATAGAAAAATGAGCCTCATTATATGTGTGAGTGTTCCATGCGTACTGTCCATGCCAGTTCTAAAGGCTCCTATCTAAAATCAATGCACATGAATATCGACCAAAGAAATATTTTGTCATCTGAAAAAACCTAAAGTCAACGCTTATCAATTCACATTAAAACAAAAATGAAGTATATTTATATGTTTTGCATGGTAAATTGTTCACAGCGAATAAAGATAAAAATTAACTTTTTCCTTTTGTAGAATCTTTCGTAGTTACGAGGGATTTTGAAAACGCGACTTCTTATTACTTTCATATTAAAATCGGTTTCTGAAACAAAACGGATAAAATTAGAATAAACTAGTATTGCACATATGATAATTAAGCTGAGTAAAACATTTTATTTCGACCATAAGCACATCAAGACGTAAAATCACGTAAATACAAGAACACAAGTCGTCAGTAAAACACGTACCAAATATTTCCCTCGACCAGGTAAATCGAGAGCCCGCATCGAACTGAATCCTATCCGTAAATTAAAATCGACTATGGTTCTGCTGCGCACGATACACACGCACCAGGCGGACAATATTTTTCAAGGAACCTAATATTTAATACCTTTAATTCATGAACTTAATTTTGAATACGAATTCGGCGTGATGTTCTCAACTAAATCAGAAAACAATACGAGGTGACATGATAAACTTCGAAAATTTCACGATAACAATTTCATAACATAGCGATATCGGAGCTAAAAAGTAGGCCTGATGTGGTCTGTCGCAGATTCTTGTACTTTTCGTGACTTGTTCACATAAAATCCAAAAGCATGTCATTTGACCAGATTTTTTTCATGACAAAGGATAGTTTGAAATAGCTACTAGACTTCCACCGGGTTCGCTATGGTGCTGGGCATTTCATGTCTGATCATATATTTTTCCATAGCTTAATCTAGTCTGTTCTTGAACGCGTTCATACTCAGAGCGCCATCGATGTAATCGGAGAATCGGGGAGGCTGTTCCATATGTCGGTGATTCGAAGCGAGAAGAAATGTTGTCGCGTGGAGAAGTGGCAGCGCAGTTTTTTTTAGTTTATAGCCGTGGCCCCTGGTGTTGGTTCTTGTTTCAAATACTGATATTCCTTCTGGGACCTTGTATAAACCATGAGTATACTTGTATACTTCAATGAGGTCCCCACGCAGACGTCGAAAACAGAGGCTTGGAAGCTTCATAATCACATAGTAATTTTTCCACTTAATACAATTTTATATTTTAGAAAAAAAATACTCCATGAGTTTTCAACATAAAGTATCTACAGCGCAACATGGCACGGAATTTCCCCCATTACATTCGCAACATTAGTTCATAAGCCAAAATTATGCTGAAATGTCACTTTTAACAACACTTCTCTTTAACTTCACTTCTTGTTGTTTGTTTGTCTGCTACAAATCTTATAATCGATATTTAACACACTTCTACATGTCAAATCGATCTGAAATTTGGCATACTTGCACAAAGTTGGAGACAATGCATGAATCAATTGACAGAATAAAAAATTTTGAGAATTAAAAATGTTTTTTTCAATATTAAAAAAATTACAAATAATTTTGTCAGCCACAAATATCATTATCGATATTTGATACACTTCTACCTGTAAAATCGATCTGAAATTTTGCACACTTGCGTAAAGTCGGAGACAATGCATGAATCAATTGACAAAATTAATAATTTTATGAATTAAAAAAATATCAGTAAAAAAATATAAAATTATTTCGTCTGCTACAAATCTTATAATCCATATATGACACAATTTATCCTGTCCAACCGATCTGAAATTTTGCACAATTGCATAAAGTCAGGGACAATGCATGAATCAGTTGACAGAATAAATAATTTTGATAATTTACAAAATTTCGATATCTTAAAAAAATTAAAAAATAATTTTTTTCAATATTTGATAACAAAAAATTTTGAAAAATAATTTTTTTCGATATTTGAAAAAATTAAATTAGAAATTCACTGTACATGTGTAACATCCAAGACACTGGATTGTTCAGAAGTGTTGTCTTTAAAAAGTAATTTTTAAACGCATATTATTATAACTGTGCACATGCACTGCACATAAATCCACACTCGTGGTGTAAACTTTTACGATCAAAGACAAAATTTGGTTGTGAATTTATAAGTTTCCTCAGAAAAAACTTAAAACGACTGACTTACTATTCGTAGTCTCAAGAAATCAATACTCGGCTTGATTAAAATCGGTTCTGTTTGAGCGTCAATCTTGCTTGAAATTGCTGCTAGTGCTACAATGTAAACATTCCGTTATATGGTATGAAAACAGTTTTTGGCTATTTACCCACAGTTTGTCCGAAACTATTATGCAAGGAATCTTCCTGTAAGAGTTTTCAGGGGTAGCCAACCCATGTGTTCCGTTCAGAACGCATTCCCTCACCAAGCTAAAAATTCAGTTCTTACTCTTCATAACCTAATGCACACCCCGCAACACCAGCACACGGGCGCGTCGTGTAGTGGAGGGAGTTACACACCCCGCAACACCAGCACACGGGCGCGCCGTGTAATGGAGGAAGGCGTGCACACCCCGCAACACCAGCACACGGGCGCGTCGTGTAGTGGAGGGAGGCGTGCACACCCCGCAACACTAGCACACGAGCGCGTCGTGTAGTGGAGGGAGT